TTGATTTTATATGTATGCGTGTGTGTGTGTGTATGTATGTGTGTCTAGAGCTATATGTGTCTAGAGGCAGATTTATAAATTTGTAGTCACCCAAATACAGAAGATAAATGAAACCATGTTTCAGTCTCGGTCTTTGTATCATGGGTGATACACAGAAAAACGTATTTAACAGATACAGAAATTAAAAGTATAAAAATGCCCAAGAACTTAGATTCAGGATTTTTCTATGCCAGGGACACTGAGTACACACTCAAAGCACTGACTTGTGTGTGTATGTGTACATGTATTGCCTTACATTCTAACATTAACACACAAACATAATTGCGCTAAAAATTCATAAAAATAAAACTTTATCACAAACTTATCTGTAAGTTTCAACCGTCTCCATTATTCATGTTTTCTTCTGGATCTTGTCCTTTTATTTATTTTCATAAGATGCAATTTTATTTTAATAACATTTTGTTTTCATGTAACAGCATATAACATTTTCTGATTATCTTTCATTTTTTCTAATTATTACTTTGAGGGCTTCATGGTCTATTGAGCTAATATACCATAATTTCCTTACCTAAGAGCACTATACAAACTTGGCTAAAGAGTGCTCTTACAATTCTGCAAAAATAACAAACCAGGCTTAGGAGGAAAGACTGAAGGAAGTGTACCATAGTATCATGTCTTCTGCTGTAGCCCAGATGTAACCTCCTCCAGGAAGTCTTCCCAACACTCCAACTGGATTGAGTGTCCTTCCTCTATGTTTCTAGACCTTATCCTTCCTGTGACACTGTAGGGAGACTGTCTCCTGCAAGATTGTCAGCTCCCATGAGTGAAATGACTGCTGTGTGCTTGTTCACCATCATCTACCTGCTGCTCAGGAAACCTGTGCATGATTGGAAATGTGGAGGAAAGAATGTATGTTTGGATACTAAGCTATGAATGGGTGGTAGAACATCGACATCTCAAAATTTGTGTTCCTATTTCCCAAATGTCCTTTGACATACACATTTTAAAATATATAAAATGGGTCTCATGTGAACAAAAATGTGCAGAGTCAGAAAAACAGAAAATCTCGAGAGACTCTTTTTCCTTTCTAAAATGCAAATCCCTCTGAGTAGCACCAGCAGTGAGTATGGTATGCTATTTCCAGCTTTCCGCTTTACTGCAACCTCGCTTCCAGGCCCTCTTGTGGTGGGGTAGTATAAGGCCAATACAGTTAGACCAATACAGTTCTTGACTGTAACTCTGGGGCCTTTTGAACATTTCCTATTTAAGTCCAAGGGTTGCAGCACTGACAAAAAAAAAAGAACATGGCCCATTATCTTATTTCAAAATCTTTTCAGCCTTAAATGCCAGTAGCTAGATTGATACTTATCACTTTCTGAAGTACAGGCAGTAAAAATAAGAGTTATAAATGTCACCTTTGATGTGTGTTTTAGTACCTCTGATCATCCCCAGTGGAGGAAACCAGCAGGTTTTTAATATGAAGTCCCTTGCTTTACCCAGGGCCCTATAAAGACTTGTATTAATTGGTAGCTTTTGGAAGAATCTGTGGGGGGAAAGCAAATCCAGGATCACTGAAAACCTACTGGGTTTAGAGTCAAAAGATCTGGATCTGAGCTTCAGCCCTGCCACTCTGAGTTATGATACTATATGAACAGGTTTTGAGAACAGGTAAATTTCTTAACCTGTATCTCAATCATCTCATTGACAAAATGCCAGGATTTTATAAGGATTCTTGTGAAAAGTGCATGAAATAAGGCACGTGAGAACTCAGAGGTATCTAGGCTCAAAAGAATTAATTTCTTCACTCTTAAATTTCATCCCATTGATTGTGTTCCTGAGACTGGCAGCAATAGGAGATGTATCCAAAGGGACCTCAGTACTTAATTCATTTTTTAAAAAATCCCAAAGGGTGAGTATCCAAGAAGGACTATTTTGGGTGTTGGTTCAGGGATCTTTCCTACAAATAGATGGAAACTGTCCATCACATAAGTAGCTTACCCACTGATATTGATGGCCAAGCCTCAGACCATGTACTCTACTCATTTCTGACATTCTGTGAAACTTGCATGAATTCTCATCAGTACCTTTGGTCTTCGAGAGGGAGTGGCTCACAGTCTTCCTGGTTTTACTGCTAGGCACCTGCTCATAACAGAAGCAGTCCTACAGTATGAACTCAGAAGCATGCACTAACATTTTAGCTAAAACCTCAGCTCTACTGACAACAGTGTGTCTGGGAGCGCATCAGTCGACTTTCACCTCAAGTTCTGATATTCACTGAGCTGGGCCAACTAATGGTGGAGCTTATGTCTAGAGCAGAAATCATTTGAAAAATGGACTTGGAATTAGCATATTGGTACTAGTTCTAATTAAACAGTCTCTGAGCATAGATAAAAGAGCATGAGTCTTGAGGATATATTTCAAATCTTCATATTTAGTGTTTCTGGACACACCAAGAGATTATTGAAGAAGAAGAGGAATGACAGGAAAGAGATTTATAGTTAACTCCTCTCTCTAAGTTTTATTGAGTTGGGAAACAAAAAAATCTAACAAATTTTTTTTTTTGGTCTTCTTTTAAATCTGCTTCACCTAAAAATTCCTATTCAAATATATTCAAGAAGATTCATTTCAGGTTTCCTTCATATAGGTGGATTAAGATGAGAAGTCTGTAACTTGGAATTTGCAAGTCTTTAGACACAGAAGTCTAGCATTTAAATGAGAATCTGCCTTTTATAACAATGTAGGGTACACTGTTTTCACTCCCCTTGACCTTGAGGTCCCCAATCAAGAAAAGGGCATTTCCCTCCCACATTTATTGGAATCTTACTACTTGCCAGACACTTTGCATATGCCACCATATTTTAGACTCCCCAACAGCTCTCTGAGGTAGGTACTTTATTCTCATTTTGCTGTTAAGAAAAATGTAGCCCAGGGAGATTAAAATTAAGCCTAAAGTCACTCAGTTGGCAAATAGCATGCCCTCAATTTGAACTCTGGGTATCTCACTCCTGAGTTGGAGCTACTGTCCCTTAGTGGCAGTGATAAGAGATAGGTTCAGAAGTCCTGAAAAATGGATCTGAGTCCTTTTTCAGGAATGAGTGAAGAGGAAGAAAGTAGCAGGATAAGAAAATTTGAGAATGGATACAAGGAACTAGGCTGGGTACTGGAATTCCCCTTCCTGGAAATTCTCCTTACTAAAACACGGAACTGCCCACCAATGGGAATGGTTCAATGCAGGATGGCATATTCAAACAGCAGAGTCCTTTATAGCCCTTAACAAGACAAAATGCAGCATATGAGGTCTGTGTGTCATCTAGTAGTTAGTGTCTTTCCTTCTCTAAAAAACGAGGGGAAATAACTGTACCTACTTCATACAGATGTTGTGAGAATTAGCACTGTAACTCATGTGAAATGCTTAAAATGGTGCCCAGCACACGGAGAGCGCTCAGTAGCTGTTTGCTTTTATTATCCATATGACATGAAAAGATGTCCATAATATACTGACCTGTGAATCAGGGTATACAATGTGATTCCAGTTTTGTAAATATGTACATGTGTAAAGGAAATTTCTGGAAGCATATACATAATGTTAAGAGTGTTAATCTCTGGGTCTCTGAAATTATTTTCTTATAAATATGATCTATATTATATTTATATAATATATATTATATAGATGTTTTTTATTATCAGAAAAATATTGATTTCCATTTTGATAAAAACAATAAAGATAAATAAATAACCCTCAGGGGGAAAAAAGTGCCACCACAACCGTAGCTTCTTCCTTGTTTCTGAGTTCAAAGGCAAATTAGTAAAGAGGAAGATAATAAGATATAAGTTTCAGTTCTGTTATCTTAGCCAAGTCATCTAACCTGGGTCTCAATACCTTGCAGATTATTATAGAAAACCAAACAAGCAAACATCTGAAAGCACCTAAGCCCTCATAATGAATGATTATTACTACTCCTGGTCTCTTCTGCAGGGTTTAAAAGGAGCATTTGTTTCCAGGACTTATATTGTGACAACCAGAGTTTTGTAAATAATAATAACAATGACAAAATATTGTCTAAACCTCAATGGCTCTTATTTTTTTTAACAGAGAGAAAAATCAAATTTAATTTTTTCATCAGCCTACTTTTGGTATTAAGACTCACTGACTTAATTAAATTCATTCCAATCTTAGCCAGTCCTGGTCATACATAAAATTCCCTTCCAAACACTCAATGGCTCTTTTTATTTTATTTTATTTTATTTTTTTATAAAGCCCTTACAGATTTTATTTATTTAATCCTCATAAAGTGCTAAGGTAGGTAGGTAACATTTCCATGTTGAAACACTTTAAATTATACTATGCATAATAAGCTCATGTGAGAAGGATTAAAGAAGAAATGACTGCTACTTTTTAAACCTTAGTAGGACAGTCTCTAGTCTTATTCCATTCCAAATTCTATTCCAGACTATATTAAGATACAGTTTGAAGGTCCTGTTCCTATAACTATTTCTTAAGGAATCTATTTCATCTATTTAAGACACCATCCTAACTTTTCAGAATAACAGTAAAATTCTACTTAAATATCTATCCTTTGTTTTTTTTTAATATTTGAAAAATGCTTAAAAGTGTAATGAAAAACATAAGAAGTATCTGTTTTCCCAATATTCAAGATAACATCTGCTAACATTTTGGTACATTTAACATTTCTTTCAGACCATCCGAATTAAGTTTAATAGTTTATTTGCTTCATACTAATCCTTGAATATTTATACTTTCTTAAAAATGAAGCTTGTTTTTTATTTAAAAAATAAAAAAGTAAACAGGGACAGGGTGCCAAACAGTAATTATTATGAAATTAAATCAAACAATTTTTATAATTTTTTACATTGTAATTTCAGAGTCGCAAGTGGAAAAAGACAAAATGAAATACATTTATTGAATAAATATTTACTGTAACTTGGGCAAAGTAAAACCTAGTAACAAAAGATTATGTACTGTAAGGGTGGATTCTCACCTGCTCAATCTCTTTGGTTTTTGATGCCATTGCTTTAGAGCGACTGGTCGGTTGACTGTCCTCAAATAATCCGATGCCTCTGGGGCATGTGACTCGGGCTCCTCCGGACGGTCTATGAACAGCGGGGCTGTGGGCTCGGCCTCATACTCAGCAATTTCCCGCAGGTCGCTCTCATCTGCCTTTTCCAGCTTCTCTGTGGCCCACTTGCTGGCAGCCTCAGCAAGTTCCTTCTCAGTCAGCCCGCTGGGCTTGTCCAGCGCCTTTGATGAAGTAACTGCTGAGGAACTTGTGGGTGAGGTGTCTCTTGATGTTTTCAAAGACTGAACAGGTCTCTCTTTATCTCTTTCCGGCTTTCCTTCATTCTGCCGTTTGTAGGAGGCACCAGCACACACGGACTTTCTATGTTGAGATTGATGGAAAGAGTACGTTTTGCCTCTTTCTGGAGAGTAGCTTCTACTGCTGACACTGGAGCCAGATCTGCTGTGTGGAGAATCCTTTCGGTCTACAGGCGATTCTCTGAAAAAAGGAGCATCTCTTTTATGTGGAGACCGGTCTCTCATATAATGGGAAGAGTAGAAACTTTTTCTTCTAAAGTCCCTGTATTCAGGCTGTCGGCTTACAGAATGATCATCTCTTGTCCACCTGTAGCCAGACTCATCTCTGTGAGGTGGACCACTTGTTCAATCATGAGAAGAACCGCGGCCCTCATCATACTCCCGGTCCCCAACGTGGCTATAAAGCCTGTTCGCGCCTCCCTCGCCAGGCCTGCCCAGCAGTGGTGGTTTCTTTGGTATGGTATTAACTACCCTGTGGTAGCCTTCACTGGGGTGACTTCGAGGAGGTACTCGGTCTCTTGGAAGCCTTTCGTACTCATATGGTCCCTCAGACCACATTTCATCTCTTCTGTAAGCCACTCTCCGGCAGGGAGGGGGCGCTCCCCGACCTGCGCCGCCCGGACCCGCAACGCGGCCGCCCGCCCGCCGCCGCTGTCTCAATGGCTCTTTTTAAACAAAGTTTATGTGTAAGGGTTTCAGGGTTTCTTTTTTAAATCCTCTTCTGAATGGATATTACCTCCAACTATTGAGATGACTAGAGGACATTTAGTGCCCATACGCACGGTATCTGCATGAGGGAATGAACCATGGATTCTCTGATTCCCAGTCATGTACTCCAGAATTACCTCTATCCTTTGTGCAATACATACTATTAAGCACACTATTAAAACCACAGTCAACTCATCTGGAATTAATAGGAACATAGAGACAGAGGTGAACAAGAAATTTCTCTCTGTGTCTGTCAGGGCTTATCCTAAAGTCCCTACTGATTAAAAAAATTAATGCTCCAAGACATCTCTAATCAAAATAAATCATACTTTATAACTAAACAAATGTCACAATGGAAACATTGAGTGTAAGGGGTATACAGAAGGGCAGAAGTTAGAACTGTTAGTCCCATGGTAGTTTTTACTCAAAATGTTTGAAGCCTTAGGCCTCTCAAACTTAAGACATGACTTATTTGGTTCAACTCCTAGATGCAAAAAGTAATATAACTGGTAAATATTTTATTTAAAATTCAGCTATAGCAATAAATTTATCTATTTCAAATCTGTTAGACTAAAAGCTGACTGCCCTCTGGTGGGCTGTTTCTAAAATATTTAGCACCTCTTCAACTCAATTGCTTTACAAAATACTGTAGTGCCACGAGATTACTTTACAATTCAATTTATGAAAATAACAAAATTATTTGGGAGAAGGAGAAAACTTTGGAAAGTTAAATACTCTATCATTGTGAAAGCAAATTATAACTTGAGTTAACAAATTTCTAATTTTTTTTTACATGTTTTTTCTTTGAGGGCAAATTTGTATTATTTTCAAGCTTCAATTCAAGAGGTGGAAGCAGAGCAAACAATTTTTGGAGCTCCATTTTCATTTTTGACATATCTAACATTTCGATGTGCATTGTTTTTCAGTTGTTAAGCAATGGAAAAAATAAAGTGTTTACCACACATGGGTTCTATTTCCTGCCATTGTATTGAGTATAATTTTACTGTTTGAAAAATGAAATACAAATGAGATAATTATATTCTTGACAAAAAAAGGGGGGGACTATATTGCTTCAGGAAAAAAAAGCTAAAAAATACCACATCGAAGTATAAGAGCTAAGATATATATAAATAGGAAAATATATTTAAGAAGTCTTTTGGAGTCTTAAAATAGTCCAGTGCACTGTCAGTTCTGTGACACAACAGGATCTCATTCTCTTCTGTTTGCAATTCCTCCTAATTCAGAGGCTCCAGTGAGTTGCAATCTCAGGCATGCCAGCTAAATGAACTTTGCAGTCTTCATCCAGCTATTTGGATTGTATATAGTAAGAACCTCCAAGGCATCCCTAGCTTCATTTTGCCAGACAACAATCACTAACTAAAATTCCAACCCATGTTTTAAATTATTTCCTCAGCACATATCTCATACTTATGCAAACAAATTGTATAAATAATAGTGGAATTCACATGAACAAAGTTATTTCAAATAGAAAAAGATTGGGTATATAGAAGCAAGGAATCAGCTAACTACTTTAAAAACCATCTCTTAGAGTCTCTGTAAAGAAAACAAAAAAAAGAGTACTGAGCAATTTATCTGGTCAATTTCATCAAGACTGATAACATATCTGGAAAATTCAACTTAACATCCCCCCTCCACTTCTTGGTAGCACTCTTTCTTGGCAAAGGCATAAAGATTATTAACTCTCAATTACATTTAGCATTTGCAGATGAAATCTTAAAAAAAGAAGGAGAGCTCTCCTTTTGTAGCAGTGGAATTGAAGATTGCAATCAAATTATTATATTAGGTTAATTTTGTGGTTGCAAATACGGGTTTAAAAAAGAGCAGCTAGCAGAATATTTAAATACATACAGATCCCCCAAATTCAACCTCTCAGGCAGAAGCATTTGAAACACACAAGAGCAACTAGTGTTATTTCTCAATAACAGTCAAGAAAGTCACACAACTTAAAATGTTACCTGCATTTTGGTGCATGTGAACATTTTTTTCGTATTTGCTTTTAAACTAATTACCATATGAAACAGCCTTAAAATATGAAGATGCCACTTCTGTGAGTTTGATTCCCCATGCCTCAGTTCAATACAAAATAAATGGAAATATAGAAGTGAATAGGTGAGTGCCCATCAGTGAGTTACTGCTTGAAGATAGTACTAACATTTACTGTTACATAAAGGCTCACCAAAACATAGTTTGAAAGTGATAATGGCAAAGCAGGTTATCCATTTTTCCCTGCTCTACAGAGACACACTAAAGCTAAAGGCTGTTCTCTGAGGTTTTGCGGACTCCCCTCACCTGGACACCACCTCCCTCCTCCTAACCCTACCCTTGAGCCTGAGGGAATCAGAAATCTGTTCAGTCAAGTTTATTAGTTTTTCATTTAAAATCTATTTAATCTATAGATCCAGAGCATGTAGATCATTGTTCATAGCAACTTTTTAATTCAGTTTCAGAAATATCTGAGAGGAAATACATGTATATATGTAGGTGAATCTGTATCTACAGAGAGTAAAAGGTCATCTTACCTAGCATTTCCAGGTATGTAGAACCTGAATAATTGGCATTGTGTGTGCGCAAATATATGTAATCCTACAATTGCCTCTGTACCTTCAATTCATCTTCACTCTATAAATCCATTAAATCAATATTTTTAGAGCTTAAAATGTGATTTTCACATCACAAATGTGTACTGACTCATTGCAGCTTTGAGGCTTCTGATGTCTTCACGTATTCTTTGCTGCACATTCCTTTTTCCATCAACAGAGGGCACTCTGTCGTTTGCCAAGGAACTCGGCTATGTAAAGGGGCCAAGGACTCCGAAAGCAGCCTGTGACAGACGAGGTTGCACAGAGTTTGCTCCAATAACAGGTAGAGAGCTCTTCCAACTGGTCAGTGTATAATTTATTGGAAATGTTACTGATCGTTGAAACTACATACCTGAATGAAAGAGAACCCTGTGATTTTTCAAAAGTCGGATGCAAGTGACTTTTAAGTCAGTGGTGTGTTATTATTTGAGTATCACCCAGTTAGTATTGAAAATCATCATATGCATAAAACCCAGATGCACCTCAAATACAAACTCACCTTGCAGAGAGAGAGTGACAGCTTTATTTATGTGGCCTGACCTTGCACATAGTGCGGGAGTGTCTTTAGTCTACCTGCTTTGGTACAACTTAAATATATTATAGCTGTTTTTTATTTGATCCAAGAAAAATGAAATAATTCCTCATATGGTAATCTATCTGGGTCATAATTGATACATTATAGAGGTCCTAGCTTTTTTCTTTGCCACAGGTTATAGAGAAAATTTCAGGTGCTGGTGCTATTAATTTTTCACCAGTCAAGGGCACTAAATTTAAACTGAAAACCTGAAAGAATGAAAAAAGATGCACTTCAAGAAAATTAGATTTTCTCCAGGGATTTGTCCAAGATCTACATTTACTGGTATGAAATTTATTAGACACTTCAACACAACGAAGTAATCATAACCAGGTAGTACAAGGATTGCATTTTACTATCTGTGGCAGAAAAGTTTTACAAATATCTTAAAGCCATTTGTAAAAGCCACAGTAAGAAATCCTAATAGACACCAAAATCAACATACTTGACAGAAATGTGTGTGTTATCATGACCCATTATTTTAAATGAGAGTATTCTATCTCAAGAACTGGAATGATACCACAAATAATAGAATAAATGGGCATGTAAAAGTCAAACAGCATGACAGAAACTGCTCACACTGGATAAAAAGAGCTTTTTAGGATACAGATGTGTTCTAAAAATCCTGTTCTGAGAAAATATGCTCCCTTACTACAAAAGAAAAGAAATGCAAGATTTTCTTAATGTTAAATATACATTTATGAAATATTAAGGATGATGAAGCAAATATTTAACAACTAGGATACTGCACACAGCTAACAATAATTCCTTTATCTTTTACCGACTAGAAGATAAGTGCCGTTTTCCTTCTTTTGCAAATATATTTGCCAGCAGCTGTTTCAACATTTATAAAGACCATTTCCGCTGATTGCCAAATAACCATAAATTCATTTACACATATTTTTGAGTTGGAGGCATAAAAATAATTACATGTTTGATTAAATCCACTTATGCCTTCATGTCTTACTAAATCTATAATAGATATGAATTGTTACAATGTATTACATCTAAGTGATAAATAATACAATGTAGATGTAGAGTCCAGCTTTCCTACAACAGAATATGCGGCAATAATTTACACAAATACAGTTGGGATACATTATTAAAAATAATTTATTTTAGAAATTGTTAATGGAATGTCTGACACATAAAAGTAGGACTTCATCTAGAAAACTGAAGAAACTGTCCCTGTTTATCATTGCTTCACTATCTAAAATACACATTAAATAACTATTTAAATAAGCTTGTCATTAGAAAAGAATAATTAAATTGAAAACTCCAATTCTTAATATGCAAACTGTGGAAAATCATGTATACACTTGAAATTTGCTGAATTCTTGCGTATCTTAGCTGCTCCTCCCACCAACCTCCTTCCCACCCCTACCCCATCACTGCGTTTACCCTCACCCACCTTCTCCACCACTTTGAACCAAGGTAATTTAAATGATTATAGTATCTGGAGAAAGGTTTTAAGAGACTGTTCAAAGTTAAGAATGACAATGCTTAGAAACAGTAGTTTGATTCCACTCTTAACTCCCTGCAATAGAGATGGAATTTTGCTTTCTTTTGACTGAGACTCAGCTTATAATAACTTTATTCATATAATATTTAATCATATTTGTTATACCACAACACTTGGTAACACTTCATTCTGAGTGTCCCAGCATTATCAGTTCATTTGGTATTGACTGAAATACACAAATCCTGATGAACTCATTTGGTATTCATGTGGATACTTACAGAAGTGCTTCCAGAGGAATTCTACAGCATTTCAGCATTAAACACAGTCCCTAATTTTCTTAGGAAAATAGGAATATACTGTATTTCTTAAGTACTATGTCTTTCAAAAGCACATACACTGGGCTGATTATTAAGCCATACATAAAATTATCTGTATACATCTTTACGAACATACCATTTTATATGCAAAACAGCTAAGAAACCAAAA